TCGAATGTAATTGGTGCATCGATGCATAAGGAGTGCATCAATGCATCCCCTTAAAGTGAAAACATCGAAGGTGATTGGTGCATCGATGCACTGTTGAATGCATCGATGCACTTCAAGGGAAATAGAATTATACATTTCTTTTGGTCTAAGAAATGATAGATTAGTGTATATCAATTGGATACTAATATGTATCAATGTATGATTATATAGATATCAAGCACGAACAAGTCTCGGAACGATTATCAAGTCAAGAGTCGATCGAAAAAAAGGAAATCATAAAGTGGATTGGATCTTAGTGAGGCTCAGGTGAGTGCATAGTAGTTAGTTTATGGTGCTAAATGGAAACAAGACTTGTGATAAGTCTATTTCCTATGTTAGAATGCATGAATATATGATTATAAGTATATGAATGACATGAATTGTATGTATGCTGGATTATATGTGTTAACATGTTTTTGATTGTGAGGATATGAGAAGTATGTGTTATGTGATGTATATATATGAACATATGAGAAATTGAACTATATGACTGCATGGGAAAGATATGAGCCATATGACATGTTATATGTGAACCTGAGAAAACAAAGTATAAGATATGAGCTATGTAATCTTATGAGAATATGAAAAGAAGCTATGTGATTACATGTATATGTGAAAGAAGCTATGAGCTTATATGACATGTGAAATGATAAAGTGAAAATGCCCATGTTATATGATACGAGAGCTATAGGTATAGTTGGCATGCCAAGAGTCGAGGGTCTACGCGGTCCTTCGGAACATATAGTGATCCTTCGGGATATTTCATAGGTCCTTCGGGACAAAATTTCACAGCCCCTAGTAGGACCCCTACGAGCTGTGGTGACAGCATAGTGCATAACCTCAATAGACTCACATATCTACAGTTCTCACAGGTGTACATGGGCTAATAAGAGATAACATTGAATACAATGTATGTAATAAATATATGTGTTTTGTGACATGAATTATATGATATGATATATGTGTGTTAATAATTATTATATATGTTATAAGATATATGATATGAACATAATAGAAATGTGAATGATAATAATATGATAATGATAGATTAGAAGATAATTATATGCATGTGTGGATTTGATATATGAATGGATATATGTTTGGGTATGAGGTGATAGCAGTAATTGTTCATGCATGATTACAAGTTATAGTTTATATTTTATGTTTATTGCCTCACTAAGTCATCGACTTAGCGTGTGATTGTTTCACACGTAGGTTAACGAAGTTAGAAGAGTAAAGAACAATGTGGAGCAAGACAGGTCAGTTCTCCTTACCAAATGTCAGATCAGAAGAAAGGTGAATAATATGTATTTTAATACATAAAGTTCTAGTTGACATGTATTCAAAATAATATATTATATAAGCTCTAAATAGTTCGATAAAGGTTTTGAATAAGTTATATGTAATAATAAATTTTAAATTACTCACTATTTTATACGAGTTAAGGTTTTTGAAAAGTCAATGTGACGCTTCGGACTCGGATCCGGGTCAGATACGGGTTGGGGGTGTTACATGTGAAATCTACCGACCTTTCACTGATAGGTGCTAGACAAACGTATTTTAAAAAGGATGGCCTTCATCTTCAATTTCCACAATGAGAAATTTCTCCCATTGAATTTTTCAATATCAAATTTCGTTGTTATAGCTTCTATTACGGATAACTCCCACTATTTCACTATCGTGAATAGTTCTTTGGAACCTTTAAAGAATGGATAATATCTTCTTACTTTCTTATGTTGGAGGATCCACCTTTTGGTGGCAACCACAAAGACAATAAGTAGATATTACACACTCTAATCTGACTCTTGATACCAATTGTTGCGGAATACGACTATCAGATAGAGCAAAATCACAACTGATAATTTGAGAAAATAAAAATGAAGATAAATAAGACACAAATTTTACGTGAAAAACCCCTAAATAATATAGGTTAAAAACCACGGGCAACGGTAGAAGAATTTCACTATGAGAAAATAGGAATTACAACTTCTCTCGATCTAACAAGGAGAAAATAATAACAATTATCTCTTGATAAAAATGAGAAAACAACTCTCAAGAAAACTCTCTAAATTCTCTAGTATTGGGAAAAAGCTAGAATGATTTGGGATGATTTTGAAGCTAAATGGGTTAGAGTATTTATAGTTGAAGTTTAAAGACTAATCTTGTAAATATCTTAAAGTACATAGATTAATTTAGCAATTTGACTATTTGTGTTTTTCAACTGCACCTTTTGACTACTTGCACATTCGGTGCCTACCTTGTTGATTTTTCAACAATCATTCGGTGCCTACCTTGTTGAATTTTCAACATTTTGTTCGAGTTTGAGTTTTTTGAATGAGTTTTAACTTTTTCCTTAATTGTCTTTGAATGATCTTGATTTGCTAGTTTATTGTCTCAATAGCTATAGGAAAATATTCTAATTATATGTTAAGTTTATTGGCTATGTTTACACAGGTTTTCTTTTATTTTTCTATTTCAATTATTAAGTGAAAAAATTGTATGAAAGATAGAAAAAATATACTAAGTGGGTAGCTTACTAGCTTTTACAAATGAAATAATTGTAAATTTTAACGGTGATTAACAAAAATAATTAAATTATAACATTTATAGAATTATTTGATATGTGTGTTAAAATGGAGAAAAAGAGAAATATTTTTTTTCAGAGAATATAACAATGGAGAAGTACAAGAAGGCTTCTAAACACATAGCGGTGTTGGCCTTCCCTTTCGGCACACACGCAGCCCCTCTTCTCCATATCATTCCTCGGCTATCGGAGGCTTCCCCAGGTGTTGTGTTTTCTTTCCTTTTCACGGATCGAACAGCTTAACTTTTCCGAAAGATCATCATGAGGAGCATGAAAGCGTTAAGCCTTATAATGTATGGAATGGATTACCGGAGGGGTATAGTCATTGCTTAAAGAGGAATCCTCATGAGCATGTGGACTATTTCCTTAGGGCAGTGCCCCAGAATTTCAAAGATGCCATAGTTGCACTTGTGGAGGAATCCGATAGGCCTATTGATTGTTTGATAACATATGCATCTTATAATTTTGGGGTTGATATTGCAGATTAATTGAAGATCCCTTGGGTGGTGTTTTGGACCGCTGGTTCTCAGGCACTCTTCGTTCATGCCAAGACCGATTTTTCTCGCAAGCACATAGGGATCAATGGTAAGCATTTATATATGCCATGATGCTGGTAATCGTAGCGTGAAAATCATAAACGTTTTGCAGATCCTCAAGACAGAGCACTTGATTTTGTACAATAATTTACCAAGATGCCGACTTACCAAATGGAGTGGCCACCGGTAACCTTTCGATGCCCCCATGCATGTAATGTTACATAAAATGGGACAAACACTGCCACGAGCCGCCGCAATCGCCATGAATTCATACGAGGAATTGGACAATGCAGTGGTGAACATGCTGAAATTAAGATACACAATGTTCCTCAACGTCGGCCCGTCCAATCTGATATCAGCTCCCCCCACCGACGTCACGCACGGCTGCTTGGATTGACTGAAGGAGCAAGAGCCGGCTTCGGTGGTATACATCTGCTTCGGAAGCGTCATGATATTGTCAAGCGAAGAAGGGAAGAAAATGAAACACAAAATTGGGATCCAGAAAGAGCTTGCTTACAAGGCGATACAGCCCAATGGTAGCTCTGATGAAAATTTCAAAAAACTGGTAAGACTTGTGTGTTGTCAGCAACACATGGTATAATAAAAATTCAAAGATGAAAACATGATTTTACAATTGTCCTTCAAATGTGGTCTTGATGTTGTGACTTTTGATTTTCCAAGTTATTTTCGTATGCTCTTTCGTTTGAATTAAAACTAGTAAGAGTTGAGATGTCCTAGGTTCGATTTTGCCTTGTGTATTCTCACTCCTTTATTTTCTCTCTTTAACAGGGCGGCGACACGTATAAAATTCATTGGATTAAATAAATAAATAACAATTAAGAAAATATTTTATAATTAAGTAGTGAGTGACATGTGTTACTATCTAATTGGAGATTAAATTAAATTAAATTGAATTAAATTATGATCAAATTGATAAAATATATAAATATTGAGGATCAAATATGCAATTATACCATATTTTTTAACTGTCACGTCGCTTCCTCTATTAAAAGTTAACGAACAATGGTTTGATTGAACCATTTAAAAAGTTGGGTGATCTTATTAATTAAATCTAAACATCAATGGTCAAAATAAAATTTGACAATAATTAAGTCACAAATATAGTTTACCCATAATTGAATTACCGAATTTTTTAAAAAAAATATAGAAAAAAATATAAAACACGAAAAAAAAAATCTAGACATCTAAAACATAAAAGAGGAATAAATTAGACACTTGTACATCCATTCCAAAAATAAATAACACATGACTAGTTTTTTTGTTAAAGTATACAAATGGTCTCTTAATTATAAGATACTATTTTTGGAGTCTATAACTATTAAAAGTTATAGAATGATTATTTGACTATTCATATGTTTCAAACTAGTCATTTTCTGTTAAAAAATTGACGGCAATCTGAGTTGGACTTTAATCTTAGTCAAAATATTAATGTCCAGCTCAGATGATCGTTAATTTTTCAAAGAAAAAGGATAATTTTTTTAAACATAATGAATAATTAGGTGATCATTTTATAACTTTTAATAGTCAAATGACTCAACAAAGTAACTCTCCATAGTTGGGGGATCATTTTAAAACTTGTCTATAAAATAGTATCTTATAGTCAGGAATCATTTGTGTACTTTATCCTTTTTTTTATATAATTCTAATATCATCGCTCCTTTAATTTAAGGGTAAAGTATAGTAATGGTCACTGAATTTTTCTAAAACTTTCATTTAGGTCCTCCAACTTTTAAAAATTACAATACAGTGACCATTATTATACTTTACCCTTTTTTTAGAAATAGCACCTCGGAATTATGGCATTTTTCCATTCCATTTGAAATGGTGTTTTCCCCCCTTCTTTTTGCGGAGATTTAGGTAATTCCAACCTGTCTGGACATTTGGTACCTGAGCTTGTGAAGCTTGAGCATTTGCAGTATCTGTATGTTCTTTCCCTTTTATCCTTTGCCCAGTTCTGCCCTTAGTGTCTGAATTCTGGACCTACCGACATATTTACATGTGCATATTATCTTGTTTATCAATGTTCACTTGATTATACATTGTCATGCATCAAAAACTTCACTTGCGGTTATCTTCTCTTCCATGCAGGGAGCTTTACAAAAACAACATCCAAGGAACCATCCCTGCTGAACTTGGAAACTTGAAGAGCCTCATCAGTTTGGACCTATATAACAACAACATTTCAGGGACCATTCCTCGGTCACTTGGGAAACTGAAGCATCTTGTATTCTTGTGAGTGTTCATGCCCAAGTGTTAATCACTTTATGGTTGAATAGACTGTAGTCGAGCTTTCATTTCTAGACTTAAGAAAATGAATTACCAGGGCTTAAGTAAATTACAGGTATTAGATAATGGTTGTTCTCTACTGGTGTTCAAATAGTGCCACCATGATCACTCCCTTTCTAGTTTTTCTCATGTCACCGACTGCAATGCCAGGCGGCTTAATGACAAGAAGTTAACTGGACCTATCCCTAGGGAACTTGTTGGTGTTTCAAGCCTCAAAGTTGTGTAAGTATTGCGACTTTAACTACTATTATCTGGATTTTTAAGAAGCCTTAGACTTATGGTCTTTGAAATTTTACCTCTTTTCTTCTAGTGATGTCTCAAGCAATGATTTGTGTGGACCAATTCCTACCAGTGGACCATTTGAGCACATTCCTCTAAACAAGTAAGCTTACCCCTCTTCTTCTATTATATTTTTAAATCTGGTTATATTTCATGTCCTTCTACTATGATATCAGTTATATGTGCAACCCTTAAAGCTGTAAAGTTTGAGATAATTTCTAACTCTTTTCTTTTTCATCCACATGTGGTAATAATGATAATTTTGATGTTCGGATAAAAATAAAGACTTTGAAGAGTTTCTCGAGGAATGTTTAAAATTAAAAGTAAATGACTGCAGCATTTAAAGCCTTTGGAGAAGATGAAGCTCGATTTTATATTTGCGATTATACTCTGTAGATAAGCTGAGGCGTATTCCCATGTTTGTGGCCTTCTGCCATTCTCTGTGCTTTTGCTAACAATCTAAGTTATTAATGACAGCTTTGCAAAAAGATACCGTGTTCTTTTTTCCTTTACACCAGAATGCACATTAACGAGAGTCTCTTGGCCAGTATAGATTCTGTTATTTTATTTTTAGTTGTTCATGATCGACAATCTGCCTTCAAGTTTCTACTTTGTCTCTTCTTTGACGAGCTTCGTTGGAATCACTGTTTAATGGACTGTCTCATGGTGCACATTGTTAATATTTTAGAGCTATTTGATTCTTTTGTTTTCCTTGTGCAACGTCCCTGATCTTCAATATTTTTCCGAAATATGTAGCTTCGAGAAAAACCCTCGCCTAGAAGGTCCCGAGCTTCTGGGGCTCGCAAGTTACGACACAAACTGCTCGTCAAGTACAGGTTGATGTTATAAAGCTTGGAGTTGAATATGTACTGACATGGTTTTAAGCATATTATCACACCGTATAATGGGGGTTCCTTGAACGCTAGCCCTCGTACGTGTAAATCTATATACCAGCTTGACTATAATAACTCAATTATCCTGCTCTTTCTAAGATGTTGAAGACAACTAGTATTGATGAATGTAATGGCAGCGACAAGTTAATTTGTGGTGTGATCCTTTGTTTTCATGGCACTAAACACTATATACGTGGATTCTATAAGTTTTTCTTTTGGTCATTTGACTATGAAAAGTTGCAAAATGACCACTACTGTTTTTTAATGTCATTTTTTGGTTATCCTAGGGGCAGCTTTCAAAGTTGGTATAATAATAAAATTAGCCCTTAATGTTTACATATTGATAAGTTAGTCATAAATTTTAAAAATTTAACCCTTGACTTTTTACATTGATCAATTTAATTTTAAGGGTAAAGTATAGTAATGGTCACTGAACTTTTCTAAAGCTTTCATTTAGATCCTCTAACTTTTAAAACTTGTAATATAATCCCCAACATTTAGTCCGTTTTCAATATGGTCCCCGAAGTAACTGTTGGGGGACCATATTGCAAACAGACTAAATGTTAGGGGACTATATTGAAAGTTTTAAAAGTTGGAGGACCTAAATGAAAACTTTAGAAAAGATCAGTGACCATTACTATACTTTACCCTATTTTTTAATATGGTTTCCCAATTTGCATCGCACAGTCCAAGTTTCTTGCTGTTCATCTTCTCTCTCGTCGGTCACCTCTGTGTGATGGATATAAAGCAAAATATATGGTTGGGGAAACTATCTCATTTCTTGAACTTGAACGAGAATGATGTTGTTCATTTTCATATTCTTCTCCGTTCTGTAATTTGCTTGTAACAAACTATTTTGGAATCATATAAACACAGTGTGTTCATCAATGACAAACTATTTGACGGGGTATAGCTTTAAAGTGTGACTTAGGGATTTAAATTGTTATTGCGGTCACATTTTTAGTTGTATTGTATCTAACGAAATTTTAGAATAACGGGTATTATTGAGATGATAATAGATATCGCGATCATATAATAATGAAACCGGACGATATTGTTACCGTTATATAACGGACGCGATCTGCTATTTAAATCATTGATGCGAGCTTAAGTTATATGCATGCTCCTCTTTAGTTTGTTCAGAACTCAATAGCATATCGTGGACTTGTTCTCATGCTCATGCTGCTCTCATGTAACCAAGTTTAGCCTAACTTGATGGGAATGTCCCTACACAACTTATTTCAATAAGGCCCGTTTGGGTAGAAGTGGAGGAAAGATTGTGAACCCTAATGATTTCCAAGAGAGTCCGAAGTTATATCTAGATTGCATTACTCGAATTAGAGATCTCTCAGTTTACGAGAATAAAAGAAATAGAAGGGAAATATTTATTTTTATTACGAGGATCTTTTTATTTTATTTTCTTTCTTTATCTCTAAAAGTGTAAATGAATCGAGTTTGAATGAATAAAGTTGTGTACGTGTTTATTTGTTTATTTTTGGAAGTGATCATGTCCGTGTTCGTTTAAATTTTCAATATCGCGTTCGTGTTTGTTTATTTTTTTAAAGGTTACCGTTCGTTTAGTGTTCGCGAACATATTCGTTCAATGTTCACAACATGTTCTTTTAACATTCGTGAACATATTCGTTTATCGTTCATGAACATATTTGTTTAATTTTCACAAATATGCTCATTTAACATTTGTAACCAACACTCTCTTTTTATTATTTTAGTTGCAAAGAAAAAATGGTGAAATTACACCTTTAGTCTTTAAGTTCCTTAAGCTTCATAATTTGAAGTTCAAAGTTTATCTTATGTTCAATTTAGTCCTTACCTTCTCCAATATTTAAAATGTAAAAATAAAATGAAAATGAGAACCGAGTAAACAAGCTTATAAACGAACTAATAAGTGAGCTTGTTCGTGAACATAAACGAAACGAATACACATATGTTTGTGTTCGTTTGTTATTAAATGGACATAAAAATATTATACATAGTCGTTTATGTGTTTTAATAAAAACTAATTTAGACGAACGTTATACGAATGATTTAAACGCTTTATTCGTTTACGCCCTTAGAACTTTTTAAAAGAAAGAATAAGTCATCTTAATCTCTCGAGTTCTTCCAATCATTAACAGGTGACTTTTCGTCCATATCAAATAAGATGAAGCATCAAAAGCATCCATAACCACAATCTTATGTAATTTATCGTGGCAGACTTAGAAACAAGAATTTTATATTATGTTCCAACTAGTTTTTAGATAAGTGAATAATTTACATAAAAAAATGAATAAGTGAATGGGTGGTGAGTTGCATAGCACGCCAAATGTAGCGAAAATATTCACCCACGTCATCGATAACGATGAACTGATAAAACAGATATAATTAATAAATATAACAGCCGCTAACAACCAATCCATTTACATTTTCTCTGCAGTTATGGCGACATTTTTGCTTCACTTCAACACTGCGGCAGCTGCAGCTGCGGTGGCATCTGCAAAATCCGCTGAAAACGACAACGTAAGTGAAGTACTACTTCCGGACAAGACAAGGAACTCTCGTGTCCTTGTGCTTGGTGGAACTGGTCGGGTCGGAGGATCTACTGCCACCGCTCTTTCCAAGCTTTGCCCTGATCTCCGAATTGTCGTCGGCGGTAGGAACAGGTTAGAGAGCAATAACCCAGTTTTTCAATTGTTTGGTTCACGAGAAAATAGGGGTTCCTATCCTTTTTTCTTTATTTTTGCCGTCTTTTAGTATCTACTTGAATTGTAAGTTCTGGGATTTTGGTTTATAATTAACCTGATTGATATACATTCTTTTAACAATAGTATCTGTTCAGAATCATCTTAACTGTTCGAACCCAAGTAGAGAATTCACACTAAAATTTTAGCAGGCATCGAGTTCCAATTGGTATTGGTAAAATAGTTCAATGCTCTCAATTGTCTACATTTATCCTTTCCTTTAAAAAAGTATAGGAACAAAAAGTTGCACTTCTTTGGCATTTTCCCCCTCCTGTTATGCAATTCCTCAATTTTCTTCGTAAAGTGGTTGAGTGAGTGTCTGAATTATGTAATGCATAGGGAAAAAGGTGCTTCCATGGTGGCTACGCTAGGAAAGAATTCCGAGTTTGCCGAAGTCGACGTCAACAACAAAGATTCATTGGAAGCAGCTTTAAGTGGTGAAGCCTCTTTATGACACTTTATATTTTCTTATGCATCCATGTCATTCCTGCATGTTGTATCAGAGAACAAAACTGAAGAAATTTATTTGAAAATGGGTTTTAGGATACTCTCATTCGTTTTATTTTTTATTTGGCTGCATTTGGGCTTTCATTTATTGCTGTCACATGATTCTAGTGGTGGCTGTTGCATGATCAAATTGCCCCCCTTACGTCTTGTTCAAAGAAGGAGATTGCTAGTTCAAACTCCAAGAATTCAAATCAACTATTAGAAATTAAGTTCTACGATGTTAACTTCCTATTGTTTTATCTAGATGTTGGAGATGATGGAGCGTTGTTTATTTAAGTTTTAAGCATTTCCTGCCTGTTTCACTATCCTTTCCATATTTTTCGAACAAAAACTACAGTTAATGGGGCGAAGTCCAGGATTTTCTTTTCTAATTAAAGAATTTCTAGTTCAAATGAAATCCATGTATTACTCCTTGATGCCCTTGGAAAGAAGATTATATCTGTGACTCGTTCCCATGAAATCGAATTTGTTATAGTCGTACCAAATTCAAAAACATAATGAGAATGGTATCATATGTTTCTTCTGCAGATGCGGATCTTGTAGTTCATGCTGCAGGACCTTTTCAACAGGCTCAGAAGTGTACTGTCTTGGAAGCAGCCATAGAGACCCAGGTGAGGCGAAGGTAATTGTTATATATGTATTTCATCTTTATTTCAGTGTCCTGCATTCTTTATTATGTGATACACATAATGTTCTATTGTATGGTTTAGTATAAGGCTGATCAGATAACTTGGGAATTGTTCTTGTTTCTTATAACAGACTGCATATCTCGACGTTTGCGATGATACAAGCTATGCATTCCGCGCAAAATCGTTAAAGGATAGAGCAGTCAGTGCAAATATTCAAGCCATAACTACTGGAGGAATCTATCCTGGAGTGAGCAATGGTATGAAAATTCTTTTATATGTTCCACAACTTAATTGCAGAAAATTTGTGGGCATGTTCAAGATGTGTAAGATTATAATGAAATTAAGAACTAATGCTTGTAAAAGAACCATGCTGTTAGTCTTATAGTATTACTCATAATTGTGAACAACGTTTTGGTAACTTTCCAAGACTTCCTTTTTTTTTCATCCTGCTCGTAAGAAGTGTATTGCATTTGATAGCGTCTGGAACTCACAATGGTAAGCCTAGAAAGACTAGCAATTATATATCACTTGCATATACGTAATATGATTGGTTTATATTGCAAGAAGCATTTTGGTTTTAAGAAAGGTTGAGTTTTGAAGAAAATTTCTGATTCATAACCATAGATTATATTATTCGAATTCAGATGTGAGTCTTGGATACATGTATGGTCGGATTTTTGTAAGTTTTCCCATGTCTCAGTTAGGACTAATTAGTTGTGATTTGTTAAATCCTCATTGCATTGATTCTATCTTAATCCCAGAGATAATACTGGTGTTTATATGACAGTGATGGCAGCAGAGCTAGTTCGTGCTGCAAGAAGCGAAAACAAGGGACAGCCAGAAAGGTTAAGGTAATTACACCTTGTTAACACTTATATCAAGTCCAAGAGTAATTCTTCTGGAAAACCAATTTCCATTTTATTGCATGTTGTGTCTTGTACTTAAATTCCAAAATTCGTAAAACCTGAAATAAGAAAACTGGATGTGTGAATGTGCATTCTCAGATTTTCCTACTACACAGCAGGCAGCGGCGGTGCCGGCCCAACTATATTAGCAACTAGTTTTTTACTGCTTGGGGAGGAAGTTGTTGCATATAACAAAGGTGAGTATGGAGAAAATTTTACATCATTTTAGCCTGTTTTACCTAGTTTGAAGTTTTTACCCATTTTGCATAGGA